ACTCACTGCGTGTGCGTGCGAGGTGTGAAACGATGGCACTTGTAATAGTTCTAACCACACCAATTTTCACTCAGGCCGGATGATGTTCTCAAACTCGTGTAGATACGCGCCAGTTCGTGCGACTGATATACGTCACTCCACACGAACATGTAAACAGGTAGACAAAATGAGATTGCAAAAGCAGGAATCCTGACTTTGAGTTGCGAACATAAGGTCGGTCGGGACGTGAATACGACGCATGAAGAGTATTCTCCAACACAGTTCTTATTTTACTGTTAACCAACTTCGCGATTACGTCCCCTCGGAATGAAAGGGAGATGTATATTGAGTTTTTCTCTGCTTTTAAAAGCCTCTCCTTGGACGATTATATCGCAAAACGTTATCCACAAAACGTTCTGGATAACCATTTTGTAAGGAAACATCACGAATGAATGATAGTTACACATTTAAGGTGTCGTCAGTGCATATTTCCACCGCCAGGTTAGGAAAACATTGAATCAGATTTGTTTTCCGTTTGAGGGACACAAAACTTCTGGAGTGGATATACTGGCCGCTCTAAGTCGGTTTTCTATAAATCGGTCTCTGAATAGAACGTTTAGAGACGTTAGAGAGACGTTTTAGATGTTGAGAACACTAATTCCACCGTTAATCTCTTCTTCCAAAAAGAACTTGAAATTGGAATGAACGGATACCTTGATGTTACTGTCCACAAAATATATTACGTGGTCTAAATATTGTCTTTACATTTTGCATCGCTTAATTGTGGACTTCAAAACAGTATTCCCTAGCTCGGACATGAATAAATCCGCAAATAGAGGACCGAGTGGGGATCCTATTGCGACTCCATCCTTCTGGCGACAGATTTGGTCATTGAACCTAAACTGAACGATCTGTGTGCACAAGTCCAATAGCTGTTTTGAGTCATCCAGGGGTATTACAATTTCGATATTCTTTTCCTGGATTTGGTCACATAAATATTCAATGGTCTCTGCGATAGGAAGAATAGTGAAAAGTGAGCTAACGCCCATGGATATCATTCGTTGGCCATCTGCATTTATGTTCCCGATTACACTTATCAAGGCGAAAGAGTCCGGTAGTGTGCGCTGCAAGCGTGGCTCTCACTGGATTCAAAACATTCACACGCCATTTGGCTACTGTATGATATGGGGAATTACACATGTCTTAAATCGGTTTGAGGGGTATTCCATCTTTGCGTGCTTTGGGTAAACCGTAAAACCTTGGGATTGTGGGAAGTGTGACGTATAAGTCAGTTGATGAGTCATCGAAAATAAGCTTGTTCACTAAACTGCGTTTTCATTCAATATTTGCTGCTGGTATATTCCGGGGATTAGGAACTGCCCGTCAAAGCATCATCCATGATGAGTAAGTGTTCGGTGAATGATCATCACAATAGACGTGAACGCAATTACAGTAAGCAGAGTCCGTTCATGTGTTTGGTGTCATCACGCATCAGTTGATGAACAATTTACCGATAAGACTGGATGGACCATAAATTACAACTAAATTACAACTAAATACCTAGAATGTCATTCACAACTGAAAAATGACAGGAAAGAAAAGAAAGGAAGAACAAGAAACCTGGTTTCCTTTCCGTGATGCTTTCACCTTACCCGTGCTCGATTTTGCACTGAGGCTGTGTGGATCAGAACGTCCGAGTATCTCAAACACGGATGCTTCCAGCGAAGATTGGAATCGCTTCTGTCATCAGACATCCGACGGCCACTCTAAGTTGCTATCAAACTGAACAAGAGAACGTAGTTGTTATGTGCTGTCTGATAGACGTACACCAGGCCATCCGGCATTGATGACTCCAAGTCTATATGTGCGGGCTCAAGCACATTTCTATAAAGCCTCATTTCTCGTTTGAATCAGAAAATAATGAAATTATATCCTGCTCCTCCAGTAAGGCACACAACTAAATGGAAATGTCCTCCTCGAAACAGAACAAGTTGCGATTCACATAAACAGTGAAAAACGAAATATTTCACGTGTCTGTTCTCCACCTAATGCACCGAATTTAAAGCTCGTTTATCCAGCTTCATACAGTATAGTAATGTAAAGACGTAACCTTAAAAGACACCGTTTAAAGTGTGTTATTTTGAAGGGCCGCCACGCAATAAGTGCTTGAGCGATCAGATGTGACCCATGGGACATGATCAATGCAAGACCAGGGCATCCTGAATGAACTGATTATTTGCTCAGCCAAACAAAGTACTTTTTGTGAGTGTCATTAACAAATAAAGGGAGTGGAGGTTTGATAAGATGCTAGTCTAACTCTCGTTAGTCCCCAGGGCTGTCAGACGCTTGGTAGTGGAACCAAAGATATTTGGCGAAGAAGAAAAGCACTCCGCGGTATCCGACATCATCTGGCAAAATGAAAATCGTGTGATGACAATTTTTATTATTAGGCTGACGGTGATGCCTCGGCACAGACAAACCAGTTCACAAGCGGCTCCAACGGCATCACAGACAGCGGGACTCCAATGCGATTGCCCAGTTCTCTCGATCTACCGCACCTGTTTAGAAAAAAAGTGCATGAAAACCTTTTATTAGATAGCCAACAATGTGAAGTTACAGCAAATTCACTAGAATTTATACTGGTTTCATTTGAGGTTTCCACTTTTTCATTCGAGATTGAAATGTTACTCCAATCCATTGAGTAGTAGGTTCATTACTAGAATATTGCAATGAGGTTTGAAAGCAAAACGTGCCATAAGATTAATTAATTTGCTTAACAATAGAAAAGCGGACGGAGGAGAAGTTTTAACCCTGACTCCACTCTAATATTTCGCTAATAGGACGATTAAACCATTGCAACTACATTATACAGTGATCACCCGCATTGTTTGTCTCCGATTTATTAAGCTGCGCGTAAGGTCACAAGTGCAAGTCATAGTGCGAAACATCAGTCAGTCACTTTATTTTGTTTAGTGAGCTTATGCGTGGATTAAATAAGCGATTTTAGAAGAATTCACAATCGCAACGATTGTTTCGGTTTCAACTGTTGATCTGAAGTTTGTGAAAGAATGCCAGCAATAACGGGGAAAATAGAAATTCCAATAAGATCTATCGGCATACATTAGAGAAATCTTATTTGGTTTACTCAATTCAGTTCAGTTCCTACAACCATTAACCATGCACTTTCGTGCGCCGGTTTTTGGTTGCTATCTTTTGGTTCCCCATTTGGATAAAATAGCAGAATGATGATTAGAATGTTGAGAGCAGATTCAAGTGGAAGATAGCACATTTTCATAGACTGAAGTTACAAGAATAACGAGTAGATGCATGAGCGCCACTGTTTGCGACACCCAGCCTTATCATTCAGTGTCTCTAACCCCCGGTGACCATGATATCTGGGTCCCTATCCAGGGAGCCTAACGAGACCTATGTGAGCCACTCTCCTGGTCAGGGTTTTCGTACCTTCATGCCAGGTCTTAGCCGGAACGCCCTACATTTTTTCCAACCGCTACCTGCCTCGCCAAGCAT